TGAAGGGCCTGGCGTTGCCCGTGGAAAAAAAATAGAATTTGTTTAGCCTTTGTCACCCCTAGGCTTCCTATATGTTGTAAGCCTATTCGGTCAAGCCGTTTGGCCGGCCAGAGGGAATATATATACAAATGTCTTGTTTTATTTTATAGAAGATCTAGATGTAGGTTCAATTATAATATGAATAAATTCAAAATAGAAGTCAGCTGGACCTTATGTTATTAATTTGAGAGTAAAAGTTTTTGTTAAAAGTTTAATCAAAAGTTAAAAGTAAATCTTTTTAGTGGTAACTATATATATTATTATAATATATATATATAAAGTTGTAATCTCTGTTTGTCTGTTTATTTGTTTGTCCCATCATAACTCGTGAACCCCTTGACCAATTTGCCTCAATTTTTTATTGAAAACTCGGGAAAACCACGGGACTGTTCTTGGCTTCTTGCCAAAGTTTAGAATATAAAAGGTCGAAATTCTTTTTGTAAAAAATCGAATTCTGATTAACGTTATTTTTCCTAAAAACAGTGATCAAAGATTAATGATTTTACATTAAAAATGTTTAGACCCCAGCAAAAAAAAAAGAAAAACATGAGTTTGAAATTTTGAATTTCTAAGATGTTGTTAACATAGTCGTAACGACAATTTTGCGTCAAGTTGACCTTCTTATTTAGTTTGTATTGAAATTCATACAGGGTGTCCCACGAAACATGACAGTATGCAGAACTTGAATGTCGTCTTGATTTTTGATATAATTTGCTGCGTTTATTTGTCAATCTAATTTTAGTAGTAAATTTCTAGAGATAATAATCACAAAATTTCCCTTGTCCTGCCATTTCCAGAATGTGGTCTGCCTTTTTTGTGCTTTCAATATTGCCCGAGATATGAAGAATTTCGTTCAGATTTCGACAATTTTGCTTTTATTTAACAAAATTGAAATCTGCACCACTCTTTATATCTCCGGTAATATTGAAAGCACAAAAAACGCAGACCACTTTTTGGAAATGCCAGGGCTAGGGGAATTATGTGATAATTGTTTCAAGAATCATACATGTTACAGTAGATAGAAGACTAAATGTCACAAATAAATTCAAATACCAAAGACGACTTTCAAGTCGTCTTCCTATTGTCATGTTTCGTGGGACACCCTGTAGTTTTCATATATTTTTTTTCTTCTTTTCTAAAATAAATGTCCCTTCTCAGTCATCAAATTACTAATATCCTTTTTCATTTGAAATATGATCTTCCCTCTACATGTGATCTATCGTATCATTTTCTTTTATTTCTATTTATACTTTTATTATTATTTTCTTAAATTATATATTTTACTAAAAGTAAAAAGTAACTAGGACTCAGCCCTACAGGTGGACAGGTTCGAACAATCATTTTCTTTTGATGGGAGAGGTTAAAAAGTACACCTTCAAAAAGAGAGAATGCCGATTTCGTACATGTTAAAGATGTAGATTTTTACTTTTCTAAGAGAACTTACTTTTTAAAAGGCTCTTCTACGTAAATTCAAGGAACCCTCCATCAAGGATTACTGAGATATCCAAATTTGTCTGGCTAAAATTGATTTTAAGCGACCTACGTTTTTATGGTTCAGTAATTGATCAGTTAACAGAATTTAACACTTTATTAGATAGAAAAATCACCGATATCATATCATCCTCATAGTTTGTGTTCTTCTAAATAATAAAGCTCTTCGCTCATGTTTATATATTTGTAAATATGTTAGCTATTGCTGGCCAAACGGCTGGACCAAATTGGCTAAAATTTTTTAGGGAACTCATGGGTACCCTGGGGGTAACATAGGCTAAAAAAATCGAATTTCTTTCTCAGAAATCAAATTTTTTTCTTCAAAAATCAATTTTTTTTCAAAATTCGATTTTTTTTCTTTCACAATTCCATTTTTTTCTTTTACAGGCAAAGCCGGGCACTTCAGATGTTCTTCTAAATAATAAAGCTCTTCGCTCTATATATAATATATATATGTTTATATATATTTGTATGTATGTATTTATGTATGTTAGCTATTGCTGGCCAAACGGGCAATTTTTTTTCTTCAAAAATCAATTTTTTTTCAAAATTCGATTTTTTTTCTTTCACAATTCCATTTTTTTCTTTTACAGGCAAAGCCGGGCACTTCAGCTAGCTCATCCATAAAACCAATTATTCATTCAGTCACCATGCAGTACACAACAAAAGCTTAGTTTAAGGTGTGTTATTTATTTAGAGGTTTGAAGGGTACTATAGTAAATCCGACATGCCACTCCTTATATGAAGGGTCACTTGAATTGACTCTATAGTCCCTTTAAATGGATTTTTCAGATAAAATGAAAGGGGGTATGGCTGAAGCCTGAACATTTTAGGTATAACTTTGAAACAGTTTTATATCAAATTCTCGAAACAAGGATAGAACTAATTTTGGTCGCGATCATCTTCTAAAATGTCCAGGCTTCAGCCTATACCCCTTTTAATTTTACCTTTACAGTCCCTTTAAATTTGTTTAAGAGATTTGTAAAGGTTTACCTGACACTAGAAGGCGTCCTGATGGATCTACACAACATGACGCAACCGGTGATCCAGCTCCTTCATTTCCAAACTGAACCAGGTTTACACAGCCCCTTGTTCGAAGGTCCCAAAACCGAACAGTTCGATCCTAAATATAGCAAATGTAGAATTTTCGACTTAACAGAACTCAGAATTTTAAATATCACAGGTCTACGACATCGGGTTGCAAAAATATACGGACAAGAGCTTGTGACAAGAGCTCTTTTCCTTTGAACTTGACAATGTATACCCATTCCTATTGTCTTCTGAATTTTATATGATTTAGAATGTGTTGCTGATGTTAAGTACGTCAACTATTCAAAGGCGTTTTTTTCAACCAATTACCGTTCATAAGACGTTTGTTAATTTATGATCGTTCCAATATTTCTAAAAACGCGTTTTCATGCGTTTGTTAATTTTAAGAAAGGGAAATCCCGATCGTTCCTTTAAATAAATGACCGTTCTCCGTTAACGAAGTCACGGCCTTTAGAACTACTTCAAAGTAGTTTTAGATGTAATAAACTATTCTCCCCTCCAACACAGACCAGTTGAATAGGGTTACCTGAGATCCTGAGACGAATATTGGCCCCCCTGCCCAGGTGTAAAGGGATAAGATGTGTCCTGTATGTCCTGTTAAGGCCTGGAAAGGAGTAAATGTTTGACAATCTGTGACATAAACCTAAAAACTCAACAATATCAGCTTTTATCCCTAAAAGAAACAGTGATTGTACTTATATTGCTGTTATCAAAAAAAATTTAGTGAATAAAAACAGCTGACTGTTCCTTGCAGTCTCCAGCTCCGCCAGATAGAAGCAAAGACGACCCTCCAGAACCTTCTTCAACAAAACAGCAGTCCCGGACCGTTCCGTCGTGCATGGTAAGATCCTTCTCCCCGCCCTCTAGGCTGTTGGTCTCACTATTATACTTCATGAGCTTGACGGTCTTGTCGTTGCTGCCGGTGGCGAGGAGGTTCCCCTTGTAGGACCAGGACAGGCAGTATATAGATCCCTGGTAACCAAGGTTGTAAATAATTAATTGTATTTTTTTCTGTTTAAAAGGAAGTTATTACAAGTGTTCCTCCATATAAAGACGAACATGGCCGATTCACAATAGGAACTTTAAAATCTTTATCTAATCAATAATGTGGAAGATATTGTCGTTTTTCTGGGTTAAATAGTTTTTCATTATTCTAATTCCTACACATTCTTCTGTAGTAGCAGAGAACTTACAACTGAAAATAATCAGTTTGCTAAATAATAAATATTGATCATACTTGATCAGACAAAGGTTTTAAGGGTACCGATGTGAATCGGACATTGCCAACTTTGTATGGATGGTCACGTGAAATTATTAAAGGGAGTGTTTGCAAAAAGAAAGGATGACCGAAACAAAAATTATGCAGGTAAAGCACAGTTTCAATTAGTTTCTAAAGTTTTGTCCAAATAAATATGTAAATAAATTATTTGTTACCACAATAAGATAAATAAAGCAGCGTAGAAGAATATAAGACAAACAATGACAATAAATCAACTAAATTCTACAGTTACGTGTATGTACAACTCTAGATCTAATTTTAATGTAAACATTTCCATTAGTAGACAATTTTGCTCTTCTGGTCAATTCGGGAATAGAAATACAGCCATAACCGGAAAGAACCGGAATTTATTGACAATTAATCAGACGACTTTACATTTATATCTCTGGCAATTTTAAACGCACTATAAAGACAGACCACATTTTGGAATTGGCAGGACTATTCTGTTATAATCGTTTTATTAATCATATTTGTAAAATTAGATTGTAAAGTCGTCTGATTAATTATAGATCAATTTCAGGCCTTTCCGATTATGACTGTACCAAACCTTGCAATTCACTGCAGACTAGAAACATGTAAATCCAAGTCATAGAAAAAGCCAGGCGTATAAGAGGAAAAGCTTTTTTATGTCGTACTTTTATTGAAATATTAAAATATAACCAATCATGGGACGGAGTTCAGAACGAGAAGAGGGTCGGACCGGTACGAATTTAGTTGAGCATTCATAATCCCTAACATTCTGGGAAGGGTGTGGATTCTTAGCGACTGTTCACAAAATATCCAAAGCTGTCCTAATACGTCATAGTATACAGGTTAGTAAACATGATTGATAAAACCGGTTTCCTTGTGGTGTTTAGTTCGCTTAAAAAGTACAGTCGGCTGATGGGTCTCATGGTTTTCAGATATTCTAAACCAAACTCAGATTAACCATACATAAAACTTTATATATTTAGTAGTAAATTGGAGGCGGATCCGGATCCACCCTGAAAAAAATGGATTCAGATCTGGATCACGGTCATTGGTCATTTTCACATTTCTTTAAGATTAACTCATTTTTTTACAAAAGAAGCTTTTTAAAATTATTTTTCTTCTTGGTATGCTTATTTTATGCTAAATCATTTCAGAGATAAGGCAATTTTTTAAATATCTCTTTTAAACAAGGCTCAATCAATCAAAATATGAATGCTGTCAAAAAAATCATTATCTTAATCCAATCCTTTCCTATCCGGCCTATATCAACGATGAAGATATGTTTCTGTTCACCATGGAACAAAATCATCAGTATTGTCAACTCTTTAAAGTACGCGTAAACTACAGAGAAAAGGAGAATTGTGATTTCAATTTAATAATTTGATCGTCATTCATACTCCCCAGTTCGTGATTTTTTCACCAAAGAAGAAAGTTATATCTTATTCTAAAATTTACGTTCACGTTTCTAAAAATGTTTTTATTTCTCTAATCTTCTTTGAAAGTAACACACCAGAGAATTGATATATTAACCAGAAGAAGTTTAACTCTAATCTCCTTTAACTTTAGCTTTGCGAAAGAGTCTAGTCACTAAATGATGTGCTCAAATGTATTAGAATACATAGCACTGATCTAATAATAGAAATTTGTGAAAAAATTCTTGTAATAATGGTCTTATATCCTTAAATCGTGTATTTAACAACAATTATTTTTCAAAATCTTGAAAATCGTCATAATTTTACTACACGTGCAAATATATTTTTAATCTTATCTTTCATTTTCTAACCACATCAATATCTAATTAATCAAAAAAAAAATTTTGCGGCACTGGAATGACTTTGCGACCCCTTAACTCATACAGATTTGATTTTAAGCCACCAAGTAGTAAGACAAGTAAAACTTTTTTCTTGCAGTCTAATAAATAGTGCTCCAGAAAAAGTTATGTTTGAAAGTAAATAGTACGCCAGATTTTAAACTAAAATTAACAGAATTTTAGTTAAAATTGTTTTCATAACTTTAAGTAATTTGTATTTTAATAATAAAAAATATGAAGAACTATCAGGTACTTCGTATTCAACAAGAAAAAACACAATAGCAGTTTTGTTTCCAAATCGTTGTCCTGCCCTTTGTCTAGATTTTATCAGCCCGCAAGACTGTCTTGAGATGAACACCCTGACATTTCAAACTTTGCTCTCATCCATTAAAACTATATATATAACAGAATATCCAGGTGCACTCTTTAAAAAATGTGAAAAACTTGTTAAACAGTACAAACGTGAATACCAATCCTTTTTTCTTATCTTAATTTTTATGCTTTTTTCTCTTCTCATTGCCATGTCAAGGGAGAATGAACTTTTAATCTTTAATTGAAATGAACTTTACTTGTTCATCCTTTCCCTACATGGTTTGAAAAAAAAACAATTTGTTTATATGCAGGATTTTTTTAATTTCGATGCAGAACCGGGTCCGATCCTGGATTGACACTGGAAAAAATGGATCATGAACAATTCTTAAAGATTTAATGATTTTTTTTAAAACAAAGCAGAATTGTCCAATTACTTATTTTATGTTTTTTTCGCTTATTTTTATGCTTAAACTTTATGAACCATGTAGAGATCAGGAAATTTTAAAAATTTCAACAGTTCAGATTTGGAGTTTGAGAGTAAAAAAGTTTTTTTTTGCAGTTTTTAGTTGTTATTTTAACCCCTTGGATCCTGATCCAGATGCCAAAATATCGTTGATCCATCGGATCCGGATCCTAAGCACTGATATATTGGTTAATCTGCGTTGCCTTGATATATCCGGATATTCACAAATCCGCAAGGTTTTAGAATTAGATCCGACTGCGTAGACTAGACCCTCAGGATGGAACTCAGCACACCGTACAGCCTGCACATCCTCCAGGGTTACAACCTAGGGAGGGAGCAATCAGTTTGGTGTACATTTTTGGAAATTAATACATTGACCCCGCCCAATGATTCCAAAAAATTTCTTGTTGCTACTCTCAACTTAATCTTAATATTGACTCAAATCCCTATTTTAATAATATTAGAAGAAAAAAATTTAACATGCAATGGTTTTTTTAGTGGAGACTGGGAACTGGGGAGTGCTGGAGTGCTAAGTAGTAATTTTAAAAACTTAAAACTGTTAAGTGTTAACTGTGAAACCGACAATAAAAATACAATATAAAAAATCAAAATTTTCGATTCTACTTTGATCATGAATTTCACTGGGATATTGTTTATTAATATTTCAATATTCACTTCAATTAGCGAAATAAAATGACAATGTATTTTTTAGAAAACGGAAAAAAATGTCATTTTTTTTAATAAATAGATTATTCCAACCTTTACAAACTTTGGTTTTCCCATACTGAGAGCAGTGCTTAGTTCAGGGGTTAGCAGTTCAGTATTTCCCTTCGATCCGTCACTTGGTTCCTCCAGGGGAGGTTCTTTCACCTCGCCTTCAGATACTAAAACAGAACCAATAAGTGGGGCTTGCTTTTAAAGAAAATTCGAAGTCATATTAAAGTACCCGTCCACTTAAATCGTGATTCACAGACATAAGGTCAAACAACCTAGGGTCAAATGCAATTAACCGATTTACAAACACTACAACCTTTATCTAATCTAATCAATCTAGCATAGAAATCGTTTCATTTTGACAATTTTCTTTTTGTCTCGTAGACCAAATAATGACAAAGCTTTTAAGTGATCCCATTGTGAATTGACCTTTTCCAATGTATAGAAAAGAGAAGACGGTGAAAATTACATCTACAGTCCCTTTAAACATTAATTGAGCCGATTGAAATAGAAAAATTTATGTGTGTTTGTCGCTTAAAAGTATATTTAATTCTGCAAACATACTGGATATTATCTGACGTTCTTTTAAGAAAAACATCATATATTATTTCCGACAAAAAAATAAAATTAACGAAATAATAAGAATTTATAAACTTAAATTGCTTATTTTTCATTATGATTATAATCGTAAGAAAAAATAAATTCTAATTGAAAATGCAAGCATTGTGCCGTAAACAGCCAGAAAAATAAAATTCCAATTAAAATTACGAATAGGTCACGTAATAAAAATCTTCAAAGTTTTGTCGAAAAATAATATTAAAAAAAAATGGGGTTTATACTTTTCAGATGAATAGAAGAAACAAAAAACGATCTTAATCCAACTAGTCGTTGCGATTAATTCTTAATTTCTCAAATTTTAAATGTTCAAAACCGACACGGCAGAGGACTACAAATAAATCATATGACGAATATGACGAAGCATTTATGACGAAGTAAAGTCATTTTCCAGCTTTCGTTTTTTCGTGTTTAAAATCCTTTAATACTGCGCATTTTACTCAAAAAAAATTAATTCAATTATCTAAACTTTCAATACAAACTTTTTTGACAGTATATGTACAACAAAAAACTTAACATGTAATCTTCAGAGATATTTTTCCAATTTTTTTTATGGGGAGAGGGGGTTTATCAACTGACAAATACCCCCTCAAGCTCTTCATAATATTTTTATTCGAAAAAATCCTAATCTTTTGTTGGAGAATAGTTTTTCAAAAATTTAGGATCCTGACTCTGGATCCGCCATGAAAAAAAGATTATCCTGATTTGAACATTTCTTAAAAATTTAACCATAACAAAATTTCAATTTGTTTTTCTCTTTTGATTAGTTTTTTTCTGAAACTTGAGGGACGCTTCGGAGATTAATAAGTTCTCTCAGACTTCCCAAGTGTCAAGTTCCCAAGTGACAACTTCCCAAAGGTCAAGTTAGGCCGTCTGAGGCGCCGCAGGCTGCAATGGGGGGGGGGAACGCTGCGACTAGGATGATGGAAGGGTCCGAGCGCTGCAACCAGAACAAACTAGAGACCGATCGCTGGGGCAAGGACAGACTTGAATATTTGTCACTTTGGTACCCTTGGCTTAAAGTACCGCTTGGTAAAATGCCTATGGGAAAGTACCTAATATTTAAAATAACTATACATTTTAAAAATAACTATACATTTAAAATAACTATACATTTAAAATAACCATACATACCTGTTGATGGTTCTTCTAGTATGGTAGTTGGTGTAATTGTTAGATCTCGTTCTTTAAACAGCTGATCTACCGACGTGTCCATCAATTTTTTCCCTAAAATAATTTACAGAATGTTTAACCATATTCGAAATCTTCGATATCTTTAGAGATGATAAATACCATCCCGTTTTGCTAAGTTTTCGTCAAAAAGTCACAAAATTTTATTGGTAGGGACTTACGGCGTAACTTCAAGTGATCCTCTATTGGTAGGGACTTACGGCGTAATTTCAAGTGATCCTCTATTTGTGAATTGCGTGTCAAATTCACAACAGTAACCATTACACCTTTGACCGTTCAAGAATGACAGACGTATAAATCCATAGAAACGCTTGTAACTGTTGAACGCTTTGTTTGCAAGTCTCAGAAAATGAACATTAACATTTGAATTTAAAGAAAAACCGAGTTAGACATTTGGAATGCATTAGAATCATAATATATGTAACGTCAACTGAGCATGGTGAGTAATTTACACTGTACGCTAGCGTACACTCCAGTTTGTTCTGTTCTTTGTCCTATAGGCTCAGTTTAAGGTTTCAAGGATACCATTGTAAATCAGGCATTCCCCTAACACTCAACGAAGCTATCTGTGCAGTTCTCCAGTAATTTGCAGTACACTGACATAAGATACACGTTTCATACTACTTTCTTTATATATAAAATGTTTGATTCTTTATTCAGAAGCTTTGATTTCTTTTCTTAATAGATGACAATCGAGTAAGTATTTATATGAAATCATTATAAAAATATATATTGAATATAGATTATCCTTAAAAAAAATATGTATATATGATAATTTCGTAAATATTGGTTTTTTTTTCAGTTGAACTCATGATTAAGAAAATTAAGAAAAAATAAGAATTAAAGAAGAATAAATGTGATCTTAAGAGTAGTTCGAAATCATTCAAATTCAATAACAAAATCCTATTACAATAAAAGGGTTACATCTTTGCATGTATGAGGATCCCTTGAAACTAGGGTTACACTACCTTTAAAGGTGACAGTTAAAAGTAACGAAAAAAACATCCATATTCAATTCTCTGAATATTATGTTAGTAGAATTTATTTTGGGAAATAAAATATAAATCTATATAATAAAACTCTTCGTTCATATATATATATTTATATGTTAGCTATAGCTGGCCAAACGGCTGCACCAAATTGGCTGAAATTTTTTCAGATAAAAATATTTTTTTTTATTTTTTTCCACAGGTAACGCCGGGCCATTCAGCTAGTTATAAATATAAATATAAATCTAAAAATAATACCTGTAAGATGAAAACTTGCTAAACTTCTTGTCATATCATGAACACCTCCTTTAGGCTCCTGAAAATAAAACCATTGAAAAATAAACTTATTTAAACAACTTTATTAACAAGAGATCAAGTCTAATTGCCACGCATCCACTGCCCCTTTAGTAAAAGTAAATTGAATCTATATAAAGCATAAAGTCGGACCACGTCAACCTTGTTGCATCAGCTAGTCCTGTCCACAAAGCTAGGTAAAGTACAATTACTAGGACCGGAAAGGTTGACCCGGCTCGGAAATTCAAATGTACTACGGCTTTCCGTGTTGCAGTTGTCGTCGTTGTTCCTTCTCATATTCTGAGTCTTTGCCACAAACTTAAATTTTCTGGCCCCTAAATCTCTTGGCAACATCAGAGTTTGTGACAAATGGCTCAAATCATGGATTTTGTAATTTCGTTTATAGAGAGGCATGTCCGATTCACAACGGTATCCTTAAAACCTTTTTCCGGACAACAATGTGGGAGATACCCTCATTGGTTTAGCTGAAGATTGAGTGCAGTGCACGGAGGCTCGAGGTTACAGTGTACACTGTACACTCCGTGCTAGTGTACACTAGCGCGGTCGCCGGTTTTTTGCACTTCGCTGTATAAAAAAGAATATCTACGAACTCCTTGATCGAACAAAAGTTTAAAGGGTAACGTTGTAAATCGGACACACCACTCAGCACTCTATAAATGGAAGGTTATTTGATATTACCAAAGAGAATAGAATATATATTAGAGAGGAATTTACTAGAAAAAAGTGTAAAACGGCCATTTTGTTGCACTGTTTCCATACTGCAGGTGTACTTCACATATTTGCGCTATATAACCTTTTGGGCCCTGGAACATCATTTTAAAGAAAATCTAAACTTAATATTGAAAGAAAACCAAATTATGAAATAGGCTGGTTTCATAATTGACCAATGATCATTTTACATAGACTCTATGCCTTTCACTTTACAAACGATAATTTTCCGTTATAACTATAAATCAATTGATGTTTTTTATTCACCTAATTCATTTTATAAAGTATATTTAACAGTTTTAAAAAATTCGAAATTGAAATGGATAGTCTCGGGAACATACTGTATTAATGTACTCTACTGCATATAATTTGTGAACATTTACATGATTTGTACACTTTGAACTCCCTTTCAGGCTGAAAGGGACTGACAAAATTCATACCGAGAGATTGTCTAAATTCCCCTCTAATATATATTCTATTCTCTTTGGATATTACGCTTACAATCCATTTATCTTGTAAAAATTTAAATGAAAAAAATTCTCACCTGCTTTCCAAGCATAAGAGACAGACTTTTGGTCATCACATCTAAAATTATATTTATTAAAAACAATTAAACGGAATGAAAGGGTTTTAAGTTTAATGACTTAACTTTTTGACCTATAAATTATCAGATCGTGAAAAAAAAATAAGTTCACCTTTTTTAAAGATTTATTTTATAAACCTGCGCGCCCTGCATGAAATATTAATAACCTTGAGATTTTAGTTTGGCTGGTGGCATAGCTGAGTGTGGAAACATATTTGATCGAATGGGAGTAACTAGAATATGTTCGGTCCATGATGTCTCTAAAAAGTAGTTTTTTTTTTTAAATTTTTATTTTCAACAACCAAGATTTCGATGATGTCTTTGAGATTTAGAAAATTTGTTGTCAGAACTTGACTTAAAGAAAAGTTACAATAAAGACTGAAGTTAGATTAAACGAAGGAATTGATTCCTTGTCACCAATTCGTTCATCCCTTAATCTTTGAAACCCAATGTTGTAGACCTTAAACATTTCAAATTATTCTTTCAGATCAATCAATCTAATTTTGAAATATCAAAGGTTTACATCATCAGGATGCAATAATTTAATTGAACAGTTGAGGTTGTGACAAAGCCTCAATTCCTTTCCTTTTCAGAACTTGATTTCAAGAAAAGTTACAAAAAGACTTAAATTTAAATTAAACAAATTTGTGGAGAGTATGGGGGAGATGGGGGAGGGGAAAAGTGAGATTTCTGCAAACGTTCTATATCTACGTTCAAACTTTTCTATAAATTCCAGAAAACTTTGTTTAAAAATAGAGGAAAGTTTAATATCAAAGTGATTGTTATTTTATTTGGATAATGAGTATATCATTTTTTTAACCCCTCCCCCCCCTTTTTGAAAATCAGTTTTTCTCCCAAGAAGTTAAATATACTCTCTTTAGGGTTTTATTTGCTGAATTGAGGAAAACAAGTGAATGTTCGGGTTAAAATCAAAAAGAAAGAAAAAAAGTTGCCTTTTGATGCCCGAGGGGGGGGGGTAATTCTGAAAAACATATACCCCTGTCTTCACCGAAAAATGAGCACAGTGATACAAAAGATACAAGCTCTCATGCAAATATTGATGAAACTTTTGCTAATTATTTCCTGAAAAATAAAGCCAAAACAAGTGCTTAAGAGTTCTTAAATGTACATGTCTAAAGCCATAAAAAGTATAATTAATTATAGTTGTAGAATCAAAAGCAAATACTTTGCGTCACTGATGCATTTATGAATATCTGACTGAATCGCTGCATGCCAATAATTCAGTAATTTGTCTGTAGCAGTTTTTCTAAAATTACTTTTACTGGATATTTTTTGTCAAATCGCTTTTCCATGATATTGGAATGTTAAACTTTGCTGTAATGTGTTTAAGAAGCCTGATTAGATATTGAAAACTAAAATGATAAAAAGGATTTATGAATGATTTCAATTTTACAATTAAAAAAGATAAACACAAACAAATAGACAACAAATTCTTTCCAGAAAAAAATCATGAAGGTTTCAAATTTCAAGGAATTATTTAGAAGAATTATAAATCAATATGATATCATAATAAATTTACAAGCTATATGCTGTCTATTTTTTCACATTAAGACTAAATTTTTATATGAATATTCACTAATAATGCATTGATGAGGTCAATATCTTTTTTATTATTAAAACCATTATTCCTTCACTTAATATTGTACTTTTATAATATCTTTAAATAAATATTTTGAGTTGCTATTCTTCAACTTAAATATCTCGTTGCATAAGAATTGATGAATAAGGAAGGATTAGAAACTAAAATTAAGTTAGTATTATTCGTGTCTCGAGGAGTACACTCTAAATTACGAATATAAAAAATCGCTTATTTGGCAGCAAAAGTTGGATGGGACTAGTATCCTTATATCTTCGCAAACTGATTTGGTAGATCTTTGATATTTCAAAATGTTTGGTAGACCTTTGATATTTCAAAATGATTTGGTAGACCTTTTTATATTTCTAAATGATTTGGTAGATCTTTGATATTTCAAAATGATTTGGTAGACCTTTGATATTTCAAACTGATTTGATAGACCTTTGATATTTACAATGAATAGTTGAATTCGTCCAAATGTGGAAGATAGAATTGTTAGACTTGGAGCAAGTTTTAACTTCTTTGATCAATTAATATAAAACAATGCATCTGTAGTGTACAGTGGAGAAGTGTAGGTTTTTTTTTCTTTTTTTCATTATACAGTGATAACCAGCAAACAATGGAATGGGAAGAAGACATTAAAGGAATATTTAAGGGTATTTTTTGTTACAAAGCACATTGTTTTACTAGCCACAAATTAAATCACAAATATAGTAAAATGGGTCTATTTGCATTGCACAATTGCTGTGTTTCGTGTTACTTGAACTTTTTAAAGCCATAACTTGATTCTAAAAGTTGTCTTTTTATTTCAGAGTGTTCTGGTTATCACTCTAGGGACTGGCAATAAAAACATATGTCATTTATCATTGACTGGTCCACAGCGGAAGATCTAAATCAAAGATTAATCACTTGTGGCACTTAAATTTTGAAACCTCTGTAAAAAAGAAGGAATTTGATTTTTTTCTGGTGTTCCTGTTCGAATGGGCACGAGAATGTATCTGGAGGGATAGATTGTAACCAGGAGAGAAGGGATAGATCGCTGTCGTTAAACTCACTGGAACTCAGCACATTCGTAAACTCTGAACACCAGATATATATTGACAAGTGGTTTATGTGCAATATGAGATATAAAGTGAAGACTACGGTTTATTACTCCCGTGGCCGAATTTAAAGAATTTGAGCGGCGGTTTAAATTTAAGCCGCGGCTTAAGTATGGTTGGTTCCACTTAAAATTGTATCAAATGTTTCAAGACTTAAGCCGGCGCTTAATTTAAACCGGGTTTTGGCAGATTTAAACCACGGCTCAAATTCTTTAAATTCCATCTCAGACCGACTTTCTCACAGGCATATTGTACAGAGATGAAAACTTTAGAATAGGATACCATTAATACCGATTACTAATCTCTGTATCCACTGTGGACACTTTTGATTTTCTTCTTAACCGTCTCTTTGGATATCCCTGTTCCAACCAATTAGGGTTCTCCCATTGATTGCGCGCAAAATTTCTAGGCCTCTGATTGGCTGTTCGGTTTCTACAATCGACACTTTGATTGGTTACATTTGAAACAATTTCCTTGATATTACTGTAATATTAAATTAATATACAGATTAATAGAAAAAGGAGATCAAGCATTTATCTCTATATTAAAAATTCTTTAGTTTTTATCTCGTAATTATGCAAACAGACTATAGACGGTAGACCGGTACAGTACGGCAGACCGGTACAGTACGGTAGACCAGTACAGTACGGTAGACCGGTACAGTACAGTAGACCGGTACAGTACGGTAGACCGGTACAGTACGGTAGACCGGTACAGTACGGTAAACCGGTACAGTACGCAAAATAAATTATCCCTTCTTCGGAGATTAATCTATGTAACGTATCATACACATTTCATTGGGCTTACTGTACCCGCCTTATATAGTCTGTATTTGTACTTTACAGTGTACAACTAGCTCTAGCTGATTAATAGGATTTATTAGGAGACATGACTTGTTATGTAACTAGACCTTTAGATTTCAGAAAATATTTTGATTTTATATTAAAAGCTTGTAATTGTCAAATATTTTAAAATTAAAATTGTTTATTTTAAAAATAATTAAAATTGTCAGTCTGACAAACTCCTCAAATGTTGGCAAAATATTTAGAAGGACTTCTGTTTAACGTCATCAGCTGTTAGTGAGTGTAAAGTGACCTAATTTTTTAAATTAAAAATATACAAATAAATGTTTGAACATATATCTGAACTATCCTATGCTGTTGTTTCTTGATTGTGTTGCTTTCTGTTGACAAAAATCTACACAGCTCTCATAGAGAATCCCCTGAATTTTTTTTATCATTATTATTTAATTTAAATATTATCTATAAAATAAAGCAATAATCAGAGAAACTTTTTAGCTAAATATATATATACTAGAAATTCAAGGCGCTTCGCGCCCTTCTTTCTAGCCTTAGAGGGCGCTTCGCGCCCATCTTCTAAATTAATTGTAAACATGTTCTCTTTGTGTACATCGTAAAACTAAACAAAAATAATTCGCGGATTTTTACAAAAAATTTCGCGGATTTTCAAAATTTTAAAAAATTTAATGACGATCGAATTTTGATAGAGACAAATATTTGAAAT